CCAGCTGCTGCTTCGTCACATCCCAGCGTCTCCTCTTCTCCACACAGGCTTCACCTATATATACAGTACAGCCCCTCCTCCTGATGTCCCGCCTTCCACTCCCCATAGGATGGAACTTTCCCTCCAAACCCATGACAGACAGGTAACATCAGTGCTGTATGTAACAGTCACATACAGACATTTATTTCCAAATATAATTACGAAAGTATTTAGGTACATCTGGAAGTTGAGTCAAGACAACTGGACGTCTAGGTTCCTTAGAAGGAGAAAGGACTGTAGGGGTCCTGCTCCACTTATTGCCATGGATCGTTAACAGTCGTCTTTCTGGTGGGTGTGTGGTCCTAATCTTCCTGGGGATGGATGAAAAGGCACCATAGTAAATAGAAGATTGTATCTAAGGCTGGCACCCCTGTTGAGTGAGGGATTTTTTCTATTTCAGCTTAACAAGAAAGAAGTCCAGTTGCTATGACTCAACTTTCAGATAACGTCACCTGGATAACTGAGAATCTTCACAAATATTTAGTTACATGTTAACTATTGGGCAGAGGTGAGGAACACCACTTGATCTATGTAGCTCCAAAAGTTTTCCTCTCCACCCCATGTGCTTTGTCTCTTGGACAAAGCAGAAGAACTTCTCAAATCACCAATGGGAGCATTTTAGAAAGAAGATTACTGTATTCAGGGCCTCTATAGCAAATCCAACAAGTGGGGAAAATCCTTTCCAATTGCCAACAATATGTGAATGCATGTTGGCTTTTACTTTACATTCTGTTTGTCAGATGTCTGCAGCTGTCCAATTTAATAATCCTGTGGAAAGTTATCAAACTGAACACATTCAGGTTCCGGCAAAGCAATGTCTAATTTCTGGATAGAGAACCACCACTAAGAGAAATGATGTAATAATAAATTTTGAAGTGCAGGAATTAATTAAGCCAGCTTCTATAGCTATGCCCCCAAGGAAAAATCTACAGCCATGCAAATAGGAGAGATAACTCTTGCTTTTCTGTTAACCATAAGAGCCAACACATTGGTTAAAACTGAGATCATGACAGAGACATGTAAACTAAACAAATAAAAACTGACACAATGTTACAGTGAAGTTTATATACCAGAATAGCAATCCTCTTCATAATTAATTTGGAGACAGCTCTGTTCAACTCAACAATACTTGTTTCTGATGCCCTAAATTCACCATTGGAATACAAAAAGCAACAACAAATCCAAATAAAAGACTGCCAGCTGGGTGAAATTCCTCCAGCCAGTGAAATACAATTTTTAGCTTAAAATGTAGACCATCCTGTATTTTAGTTATTTATTTCCTGCACTTCTATGCTGCCTTTCTCTGGACAATGGGGCTTAGGGTGGCTCGCAAATCATTAGAAGACCAAGAATTGAAAACAACATAAAAATATTTTTAAAAGAATCATTAAAATAATAATATATTATACATTAAGAAATATAAACATATTTAAAAACAGAGCTTCAGAAAAAGGCAGGGAAAAGGGCAGGGAATTCAAATGAGAGGGCTAACCATTGGTTGGGGAAGAGCTTCTCTTTAGCTCTTTCGCTCCAATGGTTAGAGTGAGTGCGTCAGAGGATTCAGGGCTGCCTGGAGCTGCTTTCTGTTCCTGACTAAGTACATTTACTTTGTTTTGCAGGGTGGGTTTAGTTTGGGGGGGGGTATGTTTCTGCGCTGTGATGTTTTTTGTGTTTTGGTGTGTGTTTTTCCCAGCCCCATAGTGTTCTGCTGGGGCTGGCTATGTGTGTGTGTGTGTGGGAGAGTTTTTGATGTTCTATGAGCCCCATGGCATTCAGCTGGGGTTGGCTGTGTGTGTGGGGGGGTACCTTTTTTTTACCAGCTTCACGGCATTCCACTGGGGCTGGCTGTGTATGTGTGGGGGAGTGGCATTTGACTTTTGTTTTGTTGTGGTGTGTTTGTTTTACGGTCCCAGCACGTTCCTATGGGGCTTGCAGTGTTTTATTTTTTATTTATTTATTTATTTTTTGGTATTTTTTTCCGGCTGGAACGGATTAGTGGGTTTCAATGTATTCCTATGGGAAATGGTGCTTCGACTTGCAACCATTTTGAGTTACACCCATCTTCTGGAAGGGATTGTGGTCGTAAGTCGAGGCACCACTGTATTCCATAACTCTTGAAAAGTAGTATTACAAGTTAAATATGTACTGGTAGGAACAAATCAAAGAAAAAGAGATCCAGCTTCTGCTTCATTGTTTCCATCACTCTCTAACTTACTGCATGCATGCCACCCTCATCAGCAGCTTACCCACTTAACAAAACAAAGGTGGTCCTTCAAATATCCTGGCAATCCGGGAAATGACTCATCACTCTCACTCACAAGTCTCCCACCAGTAATCGACCAACTGGGAAAGACTCCTATGGCAGAAAAATGCTTTTGCAATATAGGGGTCCTCTCTTCTCACTGACCACCATAACATTTTGTCAGTGTTAAATAAATCTAGTATTCAATAAGATGTTTCCAAATCAATACACTGCTAAAATTACACCCCTTCAATTTATTTTTTATTATTTAGAATACTTTGTCTCCCCTTTCTCCTTAAAAAGGACTCAAGGCAGTTTACATCAGTAAACAGTAAGTATACACATATTTTAAAATAATTAAACCAATATCTATGGTAAATAAAGTCAATACTAAAACACATTTAAAACAACAGACTGCAACACTCCATTTAAAAACCCCTCTCAGACCACCAGTCATTAAGGATAGCCTGCCTGAAGAGAAAGGTCTTTGCCTGCTTGCAGATGGACAGCAAAGACAGGGCCAACCTAGCTTCCCATTGGAAGGAGTTCCAGAGTCTGGGAGTAGCAACAGAGAAGGCCCTCTTCCATGTCCCCACCAAGTGTACCTGTGAGGGTGGTCGAAGAAAAAAAAAGGTATTCCCTGGTTATCTTAATACCGGGGCAGGCTCATAGAGGGAGGTTTTTTTTGAATAGCCTGAACCCAAGCCATTTAGGGTTTTATAGGTTAAAACCAGTACTTTGAATTGTGTGTGGAAATGGATTGGCAGTCAATGGAGGTGCTGTAATGGGGGAGTTATATTTTCCCTATAACCAGCCCAAGTTAGCAACTTGGCTGCGGCATTTTGGACCCTCTGGAGTTTTCAAACACTTTCCAAAGGCAGCTCCACATAGTGTGTTACAGTAATCCAACCAAGATACTGGGGCATGTCTGTGCACTCTAAACAATTTGTGTCCATTACCTGTCAAATGACTTCAATAAAATTATTATTACTCCTTTTTTATAAATCATACTGTTTGAAACAAAGAAGTTGTATAATGTTTTAACTATTTCAGAACAAAAACTACTGCAGAAACCTACTGCACATTTCTACTACTGAGAAATGCAGGCATATCACCATTTCACATACTTATACAGAAAGCACAAACTGAATTAAAATGTTACATTCATTTTACAGCCTTTTAGGATTTCCTGAGCAATTCCTGCATCCTGCATTTTTCACATTTAAAACATTTCCTGATGTAATCAAAATTATCAATTATATAACAAGAGACATAAAGAATCTAAAACACCCATGACAGCAGAAAAGCATGTTAGTAACACCAATACCCAATGCAAGAAAGAGTGGTCACCTCCTATAATTTCACAGCTTAACTTAGCAGCCTCGACAGCCTCGAAGAGTACCTAGAGGAAACGCTCTCTCAGAATTCCATTAAGTTATTTGGAAGAAAGTTAGAATAAACATTGAACTAGGTGTGTTTCAAGAATCTTCTCAGAGCATTTGCAAGGGAAGAAGGTATGTGTAGACACAATTTTATCCTTCTTTTATTAACTGCGGATTGTTATAGTGCTAAATGAACATAAAGTAAGATGTATCACATTTGCAATTCACCAATGATCACTTTTAATGACTCTTCTTCCACATCATTTAGGTTTGCTCCTCTAGTGTAACATCTAGGGTAGTGGCCTATCAATAGTACATTCATATATCAAGAAATAACATGCAGACTCCCACTGACCATGAGATGAGCAAGATGACAGGAAATAAGTAAAAGTTTCTGTTAAAAATAGCAGAGTAAGCCTGCCCAAATACATAATATGAACTCATTCCACAGCAAATCCAACAAGAAGGGGGGGAATCCTTTCCAGTTTTCAATACAAAATGAAAGTCCTTTAAGCTTTTGACTTTATATACCACACAGTATACCTATGCAACTGTACAACTGAATAATTTTACAAAAAGCTAAGTGAGTAAATTAATCAAAGTTTTGTCAAATAAATATTTAATTCTGGAACACAGAAAAGTTTCATGTACAAGACGATCTCTTTGGCCAAAGTAATTATTCCAGAACTACAAAAGCCAGTACTACAAATCAGATATCCTTATTCTGTAATTCTAAGTATCTGAGGAAAACTGGAAAAAACTTTTGGGGTGGGGATGGGGGACAGATTTTAGCATAAAGTAAAAGACACCATTCATGCATGGGTACATAACCACTGCCACTGATGCTGCTTACCCCTTGGAGGCCAGAGATGAGTAAGGTAGTCTCGGTGGTGCTTAGGCCCTGCCAGTGGCATCATGGGAAAGATACAGTGCTGTTAGTGTTGATGCAAAAGCAGGAAGATGATTTCAAAAATTTCAGTGGCAACCTGAAGCTTTGTGTACTTTTTTATTTAAAACTGGTGAATAAATTCCAGTTTAATTTGCACAGAAACAATAGATCAAGAAACCTTTCTGTCATCTGTACTTTCGTTGAAAATATACAGAATTTAGACCAAAAGAATTTATGTTTTACATGGCTGTTACATTTTTCCAAACATTTCAGAATACAACTTTTCAAAGTTCCTATGCAATACTTTTTCTATTTTACTATTGTAATAAAACAATAAAAGGCAGGCCAATATATTTTTTGGATTTCAATTTGAAAATTGTTCTAGGTCATTTATTGAATGGATGGTGAAACACAGCTTTCTGTAAAACATTTATAATAATATATTCCACTTAAGGCAGTAAAAACTTGCAAAATGTGTATGATACAGCAGACTTTTCAATAAAACCCTTGTGGCCATGTAAATCATAAATCTGGTGTGTACATAGGGTTTATCTGATATGAAAAATGAACTAACATTTAACTTATCAGCAAAAAGATATGTAGGATGAGGTGTACTATGGTAGTTACATTTCAGAAAACATGGTTTCAAACAGATATTTTATGGAAGTATAGTGGTGCCACATGAAGAAATAAAGGCAAATGTGTGATGTCTATATGGTATGTTACACGAACTAAGACTGAATGCCATGATATAAGGAGCATCTCACAATCTTCTTGATACACAAATTAAACTGGATTTATGTTTGTGATAGAGCTTCCAATATAAACATTCAAAGAAATCATCATCTTTGTACTTAAAAAGGTAAGATGTGTCATTAAGGCAAAGATGTACAACATAGTTGATACAATAAAAAAGGATTTGTAATAGCAAGCAATGCAGATGAGTGTAATACACGTTGCAATCTAGGAGAACTAATTTTGCGCAAAGCATGCTACTTACATCATAATAAATATTACTCAAATGTGCATTTTGGCAATGGATTCATCCTCTATACCAGTGGTTCTTAACGTGGAATCAAATGTGCATTTTGGCAATGGATTATCCGTAATTCATCCTCTATACAATGTAACCTGTTGTCAATACACTGGAATGAAAAACTTCAAACTGCACATTTCAGCATTTTCTTCAAATCTCTATATTTTTAATTATTACCTTACAAATTTCACAAATATATGTTTTCCTTTTTACCGCTATGAAATTTCACATTGACTATTGCTTAGCACAGTTACTCACACCAGAATATGTACACTGAATGAGTGGGGATTTAAGGCATCAACTCCTCTGAAAGCTCCATTGAGTCAAATGGGTTTACTGACTTACTTCAGCACAGTAAATTGCAACTTGTAGGCCAGTGGTGTCGAACTGTGGCCCTACAGTGTTGCCTCATCAAATGCCCACTGATTCAATGGGCCTACACTACTCTAGTATGACTTAACTATGCTAAGCAACAGAATTTCAGCCATCATTTTGAAACTTCAAGTTGAGTAAAACACTATGACTTTCAGATCAGACATGAGATAATTTAGTAGGATCTCTGAGGTTGATTTGCTATGTACTCACAAGGCAAAAATTCTGCTGCACAAACTGAAACTTCATCTGACTAGATGCAAAAATACACTTGCCTTTGAAGAATACCTTTAAAGATCACTGCATTCTCCTTGAACTGCCTCTATCCTGTTTCATTTTTACATGTTTTGGGACATCTACACTCAGAGTAAAAGAGAATCTATGGTACGCCACTCAGAATCAAAACAATTCAAACTGTTGATCACCAGTAGATAAGCACTCATGGGGACTTTGTATTTCTGCAATAGTCCTGGCCCATGCTCTTAAAACTGAGAAGGTTTCTAAACAATTTGTAACAGGGCATTGAGTTCTGTTTTTCAGCAGAGGGACAGAAAGAAAAGTGAGCACAGAAGTTCTTGGGAGCACTTTAAATAGCATATCTAATGTCAGTCTGTGACTAGAAAATGATACACATTTACATTATGAACTATATTTCAAATTATTTAGATTTTAACATAATCAAATCATTTCAAAGTCTGAAAGGACCTACATATGTATGTATACTATTTTAAATGTTCTAACTGAATTATGAACATAGCAAACCTCACTTTGTTTTAGCTCTTTTTAAAGTTGAAACAGTTAAGACAATATGTGGAGCATTTTTCCTTCCACAAAAAGTAATTTGTGTTGGATGGGAGAGTTACATGGTTTCCTCTCTCAAAATTCCCTAAGAATAACAAAAACTACCATATAAGAGACAAACCAAGATTACAATAATGGTCTCTGACATTCTGGTTTTCTGTGGGCATGTCACATATGGCCCAATACAACTATCCTCCATGAGCCATCCGAAAGCACAAAAAAGCAGTGATGTGTTCCAGCTCCTATTCACTCTGATTTTCTAAACCCACTACCCTACTCTATCATGTTATCACCACTCCATCATCAAACTGGCCATGACTTGTTATAGAGGAGGAACTGCTATTTTGCTCCACTCTACTCACTTTGGAGTAATGCATCTTTCCTAACCTCTTTTGGTCTTGGCAATGGCAACATTGTGCTGGTAAAGGGGTGGCATATCTCTCTCCCTGGTGTACTGGAGGACAAGACTCTTTTGTTTGTGTCATATACACCACTCCAGTGACTTTATACCTATCTTTAATGCTTCAATTAATGCATAATTTCATTGAACTACTGAAAGAAACAGAACAGGATCCAAAACAGGCCCAGAAGTGATCTGTTGACGTCTAGCTTTTTAAAATATGAATGTATTTTATATCTTTGTTTAAGGCAAAACACTGCAGCATTTATGTAATCAAGAAGTATTTACTGGTTGCTGTTTTGTTGTGTGGTTTCTTCCGTTTGGCAGCAACCTCTGAGGCAAAAATTATTTTCCATCACTTCCTATCTGATGCCAAAGGTGAGACTGGGGTTATACTTTCAATAAAAATTACGCTTTCATTTAAACAAATTGCTTTATGGAAAAGGATGTACTTATTTTCTATCATAGTGCATGAATCCTGTACAATGAGATGAGTACTTTTCATTGAACTTAACAGAGAATTCTCAATTAACAGTGTATAATTACATAAGACTACAAAGAACAGATGGCTTTCATGGATCCAAAGCACAATATCTCACCTGATATGTCCTATCACATAACAACATGATAATTAAGATGTCCTTGTACATGACCAGCCTTCTAGTTGTATAGCACTGTCTGAATTATGAAGCAGTTGTTTAAATCTGAATTAGATCTTCTTAGTTCAGTTTTATTTTTCTTCTTTAACAATACTTCTGGCTCTCTTTGAGATTTCTATAATTAACTTCAGAATTTGTTCATCCATTGAGAGTTACTACCAGTCCATATTTTCTGTAAGTCACAAACATTGGCTATTCTGCACATGAAAATTAGACTAGTAATGAGCCAATGGAAAACGCAGCACTTAATTTTAAGCTCCTTTGCTGTTACTGAAAAGTCTGTGGTAAGAAAAAAAATATATGGCTAAAACAGAATGCCTGGACAATGCTGTAATTAGTGTCAAAAAGCCAGGCCTTCTCAGTCCCAGATATAATGTTCCTGTTATTTTTCATAGAATCTGTTTATGTACTTAATCTTGTACAAAGAAACAATCCAGGGCACATGGCAGAAATATATTAAATGCAGAAAAATGACAAGACATTTTCCACTCTGTTATATATCATGCAGTGGTGTGCACCCTCACATCAGCATTCCTTGGAGGTTCTGTCTGGCAGATATTAACAATATTCAGCGTGGTACTCTAGAACAATCATTCTCTGTTTGGGGGGGTGTCTCTGGGGAGCCCTGACACATTTGAGGAAGGCCACAGATTAGAAACATCTTTTCACACACTACCTTATAAAGCTTGTTATGTCACATCTACAATCTTGATTCAGACTACCATATTTTTCCGTGTATGAGACTTTTTTACTTAAATAATTGGACCAAAAACTGAAGGTCGTCTTATACAGGGCAGGCAGCCGCTTTCCCTGCCTTTTGCGAAGCTACAGAGTAAAGCAGCCATGAAAGGGCAGCACACTTGCACCCCTTTGATCCTGAAGCAGTGATGAAAGGGCATCAGGATCAAAGGGGCACGTGTGTGCCACCCTTTCATGGTTACATTACCACTTCCTAAGCTCCACAGAGCTTAGAAAGTGGGAAAGGCAGCCGGGAAAGGGTGCGAGGATCAAAGGGGCACGCGTGCGCACGCTGCCCTCAAGTTTTCTAATTTGGGTGTTAGAAAAGGGGGGGTCGTCTTATACTGTGGGTCATCTTGTACATGGAAAAATATGGTATATTTCTTTCATATTTTGTTTATGACCATGGCCAAAGTTGAGAATGGCTGCTCTAGAGTATGGTAGTACTGCAAGAAAAATTAACGACCAAACTACACATAGCTAAAGGGATAAAGCATTTGGATTCTTTCACAAGTGACTGGCATCTTTTTATTATACATATGGACGGAAGAGCTAAAAGAGACTCCCAGAATCATACAATATGTATTAATCTCTACAATAGGCTTGAAAGATTATCATAATTTTCCTAAGAAAGCCTCTTAAGAATTTGCATATTTTTCTGCTGTGAGAATGGGAAAGGGAAGGTGAGAGGAAAAAAGGTGTAGAAGTATATGAATGTTTATATTTA